AATGTTCCCATTTATTGATATCGGATTGTTAAGGGGCATCCCTCATAGTAACTGGAATTTTATCTCTTATGTATGCCTGAGGCAAATCATAAAATGCTTTACCACAAACATCACTTACTTGTACAAGATCAGTCACTATACTAGTGTTTATAGTCTGTTCCAAATTAATGGTTTGAAATTTCAGATGATAGAAAATCTCATTGTCAAAGAATAACACACGAGCCATTGTCTACGAAGGCATAGGTTGAAACTATATCGTCATTCACTTTAGGTTTTAGGCAGATAGGAAGAATTGCCATTAAAGGGTTTCCACCCATAATTTCAGCTTTAACACAACCTGAAGTTATTTTGTAGTTCATATTATCAGTACTGTTCTTAACACCGGTTTCACTAGTATTATGTTTTTTCTGTCCCTTGCAGGATCATGCATAACAGTTTGATGAGTTCTTGTACACTTGTCACATTTTGACCATTCAGGATTTGGACACTTATCTTTCATATGACCAGGATTAAGGCATGCATAACACAAACCAAGTTTTCTTACTGACATATCACGATCAAATTGAGTAATTCCAGCAAATCGTCTACACTGTAACAAAGAATGATATGTTTGCTGTCCACAATAAAGACACGGCGACTTGGCTGCTAGATTTTCACGCTTCATACTATGTACCACAAGTTGAATGTTTGTTACGTTCACTCTCCTTTGTGGGATTTTTGGTTGAACGCTAAATGACTGATAATTTGATCTCTGTTGGTAACCCAATCCACAAACTCTTGGATTGTTCTTGTTCCTTGATAAAACGCCCACAAAGTTATCAAAGTCACTTAATGTAGGAGAACGATTTTCCCTTTTCACAGAGTGGACCTACTTCCGAAATCCACTTTTGTTGTATGGCTATAGGCAGTTTACTGCACAGTGTCTTAATAAATTCAAATCCATCAAGAAAGTTCACGTGTCTATTATTTCGTTTTGAATTAACACAATTGGTTAAGAATATTGAGAACTTTCTCAACCCCACTTTATCACCATTCTGAATTTTCGACCAGTGTTCAGCTTTTGATACAAAGGCAGATGCAATAAGTTGCGAATTACCATAGTCTCTAACAGTCTTCTTGCTTCACGATACGCATCAACAGGTGGTTCTATCAAAGGGCAGAATTTTATCAGTTCATGTGCTTCCCCCTTTGTTTATTTTAACATAAATTCTAAGTCTGGCGGGGTCATTAGTGTTCCGTTCAATAATAAACTGAAAATTCTTCACAAATGTTTGATAAGATAACACATCAGTTCCATCAAAATAATGTCATTCCTGGCTAGGAAGTACTTGGTCCCTCTGATTTTCAACAAGTTTAACTAATATATTGGATATGTCAACATTGTTCACAGGATTCACAGCCTTCTTAGGGTAATTATCAGAAATCAAACTCAGAGGGATCTCCGGTTCATTATTCACAGAAATGTCCAGCTCAATCACAGGATTAAGAATAGTATTGGGAGAATGTTCAGGAATTATAGGTTTTTGTTTGAATGTTATTTCTGACACTCTACTTTTATTTTCTAACACTGTTATTTGCTATTTCTGTTGCTGCTTTAAGTTGTGCATGCAGAAGTATTTCCTTTTGTTTTCTGTTGATTTCTTCCATAGCTCCTTGCATTTCAAGCTTTTGTTTTTCTAGTTGATTGGACTCTTCCAAAGCAAACAATTCCTCTTTTAGTTTTATTGCACGCATTCTGGCTCTAGAGGCTGAAGAAACTTTACTCCCTTTACTACTAATATTCGAGATGCTGTCTTCGGGATTTACAGTGGGTTTATCAATATCATCAACCATAGCACTGGCCCTGTGTGACTCACATGCTTCTGTCACTTGTTTGTTACGAATACCTGCCCCGTGTAGGTTAGTAGGCCTGTCATTCGCAAATAATTCAATGTCATTTTGTATCACATCATCGGAAATCAATCCAGGATTCGAGGCAGTTTTATGACTAGCATTTGTACTTACAATTTGTATGACTGGCTCCAAAACAGGCGGAGGAGGGGTTCTGTTTCCCGCTTAACGTTGCTCCATTCCGGCTCCAACTCCAGACACCAGAACAACACAAATTAATGTCACAAAAGTAAAAGTTACACAACACAATGATTTCATCGAAATGTCAATTTTAGATGTTTTCTACTTGATTATGTAGATGCCGAGCTGGTGAAGACTAGTTCGATAATGTCATGGAGGTGTATATATTGACTAGAGTGTATGGTGGTCACGTGATCGCGTGCCGACTACGGAGGTCGGCAGCCATTTTACAACCGGGAAGATTTAGCCTACATTGGCATATATCAACATGCCGGAGAGTTATGTCAGGCGAAAAGGGAGTGGATTATCATTTCATAAGTAGGTAAGATATATCATAAGTGAAATAGTGATCTAATAGATATAGTATAATCATCATAATTGTGTAAAATAATTTAATAAACACCGCGATAAGACGTCGAACACTGTAAGTTTGAGGCCGGAAACCGGGCAGGTCTATATTATTAGTACTGATACTTTTATTATGTAATAATTACAAGGTCCGTGCGTTTAGCGAACTCATAAATTAATGTATATTTAATTATTATGGAAATTGCGCATATTATATATACACACATTTTGCATTGTACGAAAAATATCAGGGGGAGTAAGTCTACTTATTGGAGTGGAGTGTTTAGTCACAGACATGCACTCACTGGCCAGTAGTTGCTTTGCTATCGGTTAGTTTTACTCCCTCGGATTTTATTAATTAGGCCGACATTCATTGTGTACACAGATGTACAGAATAAAGTGAAAGTTTCTTGCAATATTTATGTTTCTTTTTTTTCTTCTTCTGAAAACCCGCTTAAAACCCCCGAACAAGTTAAAAAAAAAAATGGTTAATAATAATAAGTAATTTTGATAACTTAATTCCCAGTCAAATTTTGGAAGAAAAAAATAGGCCTGCTACTGCTACTACGAAAATCTTATTAAGTATGATTAGGTTAGTCTTATTTTTTTGTAAAATTTAATATACCGTCATATTTTTCAACAAAGAAAAATCAGACACCAGATCATGGAAATTGAAAATAAAAATAGGCCTAAGGCCTTGCTAGGCGTTTTTATATATTTTCCTTTTTTTTTTAAAAAAAAAATATTTTCAATCGGCATCAGATATTATTCTACTGGTAAATGATAGAAGTCATAGATTATTTTTAAAATCGATTTTATTTCTTTACATGATATAGATAGTTTAGTTATATCTGTCAATCAAGCAGTCCTTTCATTTCAAATCGTCCAACTGAACAAATTATTTAGATCTATCCAAAATAAAGTTTTATGTGAACTACCAAGGAGCAATGTTCAAAATTTTGCTGAACACTTTATAGATCTGGACATTCGAGGACGTTCACTGTGCTCAATTAATAAAATAAACATGATTTCGTCAGTTCTGCATTACAATTTACACCATGGATGGTGACAATGCCACAGTATTCATCATGATGATGATTATGATAAGAGTTATTCTTAATAATAATAAAGCCCCAAAAATATGCCAGTTGACCAAAATGATTTTGTTTTTAGGACAGTAAGGTAAGACCTTTCAATCATCATTTTTTTGGTTGATATTGTTGAATTAGAACTGCTTTTTTAATGGGCTTGTCCGCCCTCCGTCAGTCTATTTCCCTTTGTTTACATAGCGTTCATCCGTGATTCTTTCCTGGTTGAAACATGGCGGCCAGTCTCCAGTGACGGCCCACAACGTTAACGTTACGTCAATGGGGATCACATGACCACAATACACTCTAGTCACACTCGGCAAACCTCAGCAGATTCCGGTACCCTACATCTAGATGTAGGGTACTGGAATCTGTTAAGGTTTGCCGAGTGACTCTAGTCAATATATACACCTCTATGGATGATGTTCACTTCACTAAAATATTCACATGACACCGCTATTTAGTCCTTTTTTTCAGCCTACCGTTCCATACGCGCTGGACTTGAAAACCCATGATATGTAAGAAACACGATACTGCAAACAATAACAACTATTTATTCACTGTCACATAATATTACACAAAAGTTCACAGCTTGCAGGTCACATTTTATACGTTCATAGAAAATCAAATGTCCAACATAATGTCTGCGGTAGAAAACAGTACGCTGTCACCAGCTCACATCACACACTGGCAGCTTCACTTGCACATGTTCTCAACATCTGCTTGGTTGCTAAGCAATTGACTCGTTTTACTAGACACTACGTACTATTCTACCCGGGGGGCAGTAGTAAAAAAAACATCATACGTCAAGTCAAAAAATATGCACTGGACCTGGGTAGACCACCCACCCATTAAAATCTTGCGTACAAAAAAATGCACCATCATTTTTAAGAAAGACCACCCTAAAATCTTGCGCAATAAAATGTGTTCTTCACAGTTGCTTAATTGACCACCCAAAAATCATGCGCAAGAAAATGTGTTCCTCACAGTTGCTTATTAGACCACCCTAAAATCTTGTACAAGAAAATGTGTTTCTTGAAATATCTCATTTTAGACCACCCAAAAGTATGTGCAATACCTAACTACTAAAGGCTGAGTAATAGAACAAATGACAAGACGATATGTTATAAATACAGTATTTATATTGAGTTGATGTTCGACAAAATTCTGAGTCTGAATTATTAGCAACGATAGTCTAAGAATGCCCATATGCAGAGACAGGCTAAAATATATGAAGTTAGGCTTGTACCTATTCATTTATTGTGCTTTCCCATATCCACTCAAATCTACTGATCACAGGTTGACCAATTTTGACCAGAGTGTGAAGAAGTAAAAGATTACCCAAATCTCATCTCGGCATGCTGCGGTGTTGTAGGTAAAAAAGATGTTAACCCTCTCCACACGACGTGTTTATTTGGAGTGGGCTGGCAAACCAAATTGACAGGACAACAGTCGATCAAATCACCGGATAACACTTGAATGAAATGATAAGGCTTTGAAATATTAATGAATATTTATGTAAATAAACATATACAAGAAACAGGAGTTACAGTATAAACATAAACAAGTTGACAGCTTTCTTTGTTGACAGTTCTAATTCAATAATTAGAGTTCACAAGTCACGGAATTCACAGTTCACAGAGTTCATGGTTCACAGAGTTCACGGTTCACAGAGTTCATGATGTCTATGGAGATCCGCCATGTTAGAAAGCATGGGTTTTCACGAAATTAAGGTTCACTTTAAAATTCACTATAAAGTTAATCACAGTCGTCTCCTTACGACACAAAGTTCACCATTCACTTAAGTATCACAATTGTCCTAAAAACATAGTTACCAAACACCACTTCCGAGACGGGGGATAAAAACAGTATCGACACAGCATTGTAACATGCTTGTGAATCTTGCGTTTTGGTTGGTGGATTAGACAACGTCGATTGGACAATATATAACTCCCCTCTGTTTTAGCAAGGCGAATAACTGCGTATATAAATATTACAGTGTACTTTTTTTTTCATTTTGTGCTCAGCCATCTTCCTCAACCCAAATCTTTATTGACAAATATCTTCAAGAAATTCTGCTCAAATGACCATCACACTATTTTCAAACTTCATCCAAACACATCTCTGAAATACATGTATATAAAACAGAAGAAAATCAGTCATAAACAGGCATCATAAATTATTCGTAACTAAGCAGTGTGGACAATTTTGTTTTGTTTTTTTGCACTCTGGGAGTCTCTGCAGTGTTTACTTTAAAGTGGACAATTTAAATCAAAGTTTGCCCAAATTCTGAATAACATGATCCGCCTGATAATGAGTCATTAGTCTCAAGAAATTGTTTGAAAATATCGTCACTAGGGGAGGTGAAATAGCAGCTGATTTGGGCCTAGGATAACGGGAAATTATGCTAAAATTGACAATGACAATGATTGACAACACGTCAGAACGATATACATCGCAACCACTTGAATCCTAGGCATCACATAGTTTTATAGGGTATTCTGAGGGGTGTATGCAAGAACTGCTCTTCTCTGAACAAGAACTAGCAATAAAATTATGTTGACAGTCTGCAAATAAAATAATAAAGGCTAAAAACTCACCCATGTTAAAGTTATTGTAGTAGGGTGTTTTAGCCCCTTTAAATATTTTAGTAGGGTGTTATAACCACTTTAACTATTTCAATCAGTCTCTATTGTCTTGAGTATCCAGCTAGCCTTTTCTTTCCAGTGGTGATATTTACTTTAGTTTAAAGTTTAAAAATGCTATTGTTATAAGGTAGTGAGTAGATTTCATTCCCTTGGAAACCTGCTTTGTTGATTTTGGTTACTAACTTCACTCTTCTATTTTCTACCCATCTTTAAACAGCTCTTCTTAATCATTTATTTCAAGGTAGGTTTTGTATTTGTTTGACTGGACTAGACATTTTAAACTATATAAATAATTCCAAACTATTAAAGTAAATATTAGCAAGTTAATAATAATATATATATAGAAATTAAATAACCTTATATTTCATAAGTAAATGTTGATTAAATATATTTTTCCCTCATGTGTAAAGTCTTTTAATTGTGATATTGTGATGTCAAAACTCCTACTACAAAATGGCGCCCAACGTGATATAGAGACAGTTGATTCCTGTGTTTTGTGATCTGTGTTTTGTGAACTCTTGCTTGATTTGTGTTTTTGTGTTGAATTCTTGGATTTTTCTGGATTTCTGCGAAAGAGCTCTGTAAGTTGTTTTTCTTATACTTGGCCAAGTAAACATTTTGTTTCAATAAATATATTATTATACTTGTATTAATTGTAATATTGTGTAATTTATTATTGAGGGTGTGAATGTGTATGTATATCTGGGGACGCCTAGATTATCTGTCTTTATCTTATACTTATAGCGTATAATATTTGTTCTTAGTGTTAAGGTACATGTATATAAATTACAAAGTAAAATACACGTATCGTAATTTAGACAGCTAGATTATTATAAATAATCAAGGTGACTAAAGCATAAAATAAATACTGGTTATTTTACTGTTACTCTACTTGTATATAAGTACATATTTTATAAATAATTGTTCATAGTACATCTTACATTATACATTTATGTAGTAAAAATATTCATTTAACATATTAGTACAATCATTAAATAGTTATTTGGTAAAATACATCTTTAACATTACAGATATCAACATTACATCAATATTTAAAAATAATTAAGGTGCTATTAATTACATAACATTATAATATTAGATCCTGTGTAAAACAGACATATTTATTTTACATTGACCTACTTCCTGTGACATTGACCTAGTGACATTGACAGCCATTTTTTATTTGTTTACATTCAACATAGTTTCATAGCTTAACATCAGCAAAACACTTGCACTTAACTTTCTATTTCTCAGTTTTTCTTTCCTTGTAACTCGTCTTGAATTAATAAAGGGAAATTGATTGCTCGTGACTTTGTTTGATTTTTATTTAACATTAGCGTTCCAGTATTTGATGATTGTTTTTCTTGCATTTTCGTATTTTCATTTTTGAAGAGTTTTGACAAGTTTCAGTTGGGTATTTTTTTTGGACTTGGATTTTTTGTTATAAATCTTCATATATATTCTGGTTTTGTAGTTGTGACTTCAACTTTGTAGATTGTTTTCGGTATTGAATTCCACATTCCAGTCCGAGAATTTTGTTTGATTTTGATTTTCACTTAGATATTTTCATCTACATGGTGTGTAATTTTGAATTTCCAAATTTTTTATTTGTCATTTATGTGGTATTTTTTCATTAATATTTTGTTACATCTGTGCATAGTTAACGCAATGGCAGAAGCAAATGCAAATGAATTCACAACTCGTAAAATTATTAATGAATTAAAAGTGGTGATGTCCCAATTAAATTTAGATATGTAACATGAAGTGTGTAGGGATGTATTAGGATATGGCCCTTTAATTGACCAATCTTCATCTTTGTCATGCCCAATGTCAACCCCAAGTATTCCTGTGTATTGTCCTCGATCAACGGTCAGTGCTTTTTCGACTTCTACTATTACAGATGCTTCTTCACGAAAAACCTCAAGATTACGTAATGAGACTTTTTATGTTAACACACCATCAGATTTACAGAATAGAACCCCATTGCAGAGTTATCCAGCAGCTGCAATTCAGTTAAACCCTCCAGTTCAGACATCTTCTCCTGTTTTCATACCCTATACTTCATCTGCTCAAATTAACCCCACTTCTACATTTCAAAGATTATCTTCAGCATCCAGATTTGAAACGCCGATTGTTTCGTATTCACCTTCTACATCTTAACTGAGATTATCAACTTTTTCTGGGGATGGGAATAAGGGGGATGTTTTATATAATCAATGGCGGTTAGAAATTATTGGTCTACAGCAAGAAGGTACACATTCTGTGCCTGTTATAATTAACACCATTCGCAGAGCTGCACGAGGCACAGCTGCTGAATTTTTAATTGAAATTAATCCGCAAACAATTAATGAGGTATTTATGCACTTTGACCCATTATTTGGTGATATTTTATCAGTAGAGGTTTTGATGAATAAATTATATACAGCAAAGCAGCAGGAAAATGAATCCATTTCTTCATGGGCATGTAACATCAAACATATTGTTTCAAAGTTAATTAATGCTGGTATTCTAGTTGAACCTGCTTCAAATAAAATATTGAAGGACAGATTTTGGCATGGCCTGAGCAATTCACAAGTTAAATCTAATACTAGGCATATTCTTGATGCTGATGTATCATTTTCAGTTTTAATGACTGCTGTTAGGAAAGCTGAAGAAGAGATGCATATTTTTTCAGCCACTCCTAATCTCCCTAGTTCTTCATTTTCACGTAATATCTACAACTTCAAGTTCTACACACTTTTCAAAATAAAATTCTTCAACAGATTTCCGGTTTGTCAGAGCAAATGAAGACAGTAAATTCTCGTATAACTGATATGGAACATCAGATGCAGCAACCACGACAGAGGTACTATAGACAGCCACCTACACAGTTCAATTCTTCGTATATGAGAGATCCACCTCGTCAAGTTCATGTTCCTCCTTTTCCTCCTCCTCCTTTATTCAATCCTGCATTTCGCCCACCCAATCAATTTTCAAATATAGGTGATTATCGTCCTAGGGTCATTCCTATTTGTTACGCTTGTCAACAACCTGGTCACAGAAGAGGGGATCGAGAGTGTCCTTTAAACTCACAAGGACTTATTCCACGGGGCGGTCGGTAAGTCCTGATGTTTCATGTCAACAGAATGCCTCATCTTTTATTTCAGATTTAGTTGGTTCATCCAACGTTGCTCAGATTTTAATTAATGATATTTTATGTTCTGCATTATTAGATTCTGGGTCCATGGTTTCGACAATTTCTACTGATTTTCATCGTCGTTTTTTATCCAATTTTCAGATTTATCCTTTGAACGATTTATTAGATGTTCGTGCTGCAGGTGGTGTTCCGGTTTCATATCTTGGGTACATTTCAGTTCCAGTTCGTATTCCAGATACTTCAGAGGATTTGCAAGCCTTAGTTTTAATTGTTCCTTCGTGTTCTTTCAATTTAAAGGTTCCATTTTTAATCGGTACAAATATTTTATCTAGATTGTGTAATGTTCAGACTAAATCCACTGTGTGGAATTCCACATTTTCACTTTTAACTTCACAAGTTCAATCCAGTAAAGTTCCTTGTTTTTTAAAGTCAAGCTCAAATTCGGTTAAGATTCCTGCAAATTCGTCAATGCTTGTAGCTGGTACTTCAAAATTAGTTAAACCATTACCTGGTAAATGTTATATGGCGTTAGATGATATATCACTTCCTGGTTCTCTTCATGTTGTTCCTGGTATAGTTACATGTAATTTTACACAGCCTTCTAATAAAGTGAGAATTAACATTACAAATTCGTCAGACAGACCCATCACTATTCCTGGTAAAGCAGTTCTTTGTCAACTTCAGCAAGTAGACGTCGTAAATAATTCTCCATTTTTATCGTCAAATAGTTCTTCAGAAAAGCCGTTCGATGATTTATTTAATTTTCAATCTATTCATTCAAAGTGTACAGAAGAAGAAGCTAATCAACTTAAAGCTCTTTTACCTAGTTATAAAGATGTTTTTAGTCTATCCGATACAGATTTTGGTAGAACAGATATTATTAAACACAGAATTCAACTAACTGATGATACTCCCTTTAAACAACGACATCGCAGAATACCACCTTCAATGTTTCAGGAAGTGAAAGATCACATTAATGATATGATATGTTTGTAAAAAAGATGGTTCCCTTCGTTTCTGTGTGGACTACAGAAAATTAAATTCAAGATCAGTTCACGATTCTTACGCACTTCCCAGGATAGAAGAGACTCTTGATTCACTTCATGGTTCTAAATATTTTTCTTCATTAGATTTAAAAAGTGGGTACTAGCAGATACAAATGGCTGAAGAAGATAAACCAAAGACAGCATTTACAACTGGTAATTTAGGCTTTTGGGAGTTTAATGCTATGCCTTTCGGGTTAACCAACGCGCCTAATTCTTTTCAGCGTTGTTTGGAGCGGTGTATGGCTGATATTCATTTATTTCATTGCCTTATATATATACAGATGATATTATTGT